GGTAATTTTTCCACGAGTAGTTGTAAATTGGCTGTGTCCACGGGAGGAGGTGAGTTCAGAGTCTGCCTACGCCGCCATCTTGACTCCTCTCTCCATCCCCTACCTGTGATACTACTTTTAATGAGAAGCATTAATATAATTTATATATGAAAATGAGGTTATAAGGGTTTTTGTACAAAGGCAAAAAAATCAAACCTATGAATTTAGCAGTCTTTAAGCCTCATTATTTTTTCTTCTTCTTCTTCTTCTTTTTTTTTTTGACTCATTTCCATTTCCACTGTTTTCTTTTTTTCCAGGACATCCCAGTTCCGGTGATGAATCACCACCACTTAAAAACATGAAAACTTTAGGTATTATTTTGGTTACTAATAACCCTGTACTATGAGACCCTAGAGTTCTTTATGGAAATATCATATTTCAATATTCTATAGTTAGAGAAGTAACAATGTGTCACAAATTGGTGATAATTGACATTGTTGTTATTTTAATAGTGCCAATAGCATGACACCTGGAATCGGTAGTATGTGTAGACACGTGTAGAACATATGTTTCTTAAGAGGTCCCCCACATTAGGATTTCTAACAAGGTGAGGTAGAACACTTTGTGTAGGCTCACATAGTGAACACAATTTGTGTTAAAGAAAATAATGAAGTATAGTTGTGACAGTTAAATGAAATACAAAGAGGTCTTGATAAGTAAATGAAGAAAAATATTTATTTTATTTATATTAGACGAGCTTAGTAAGGTTAATCGTTTTATAAAATGCACTTTTGGCTTTTTATATTTTCCCTCTGAACACTGGTCAAATTGTCATTGTGCCGGGAACTCCAATGCCATCTTAAGATGTGAAACACTTGATGATTTTTTTCTGAAATGAAAACAGCAGAGTTAAACATGACATTTTATGCTTCGATTGATAGAAATTTAGTAAAATAATGGCAGTTTAGAAACAGTGGTACTACTGACAAACATTTCTAAGAATTAAGATTTTTGTAGTATTATTTATTGCTAATTTTTTTGTTGAGGAGGGAATAAGGAGGGGTTGGTGACAAGAAAATATTGTTTGTGAAGACACTGCAGATAGCATCTCTGTTTGATTAATGAAACTTTATTTATGACTTATTCCACAAACTCACTTTTGGGGAAAAAATATAAATTAAATTCCTAACAAAATCATAAGAAATGATAAATGAATACTGAACTAAACCAAGTATAATGGGATAATACATTTTTAAAACAATTTTCCTCTATTCTAGTGAATTCTAATTGTTCTGATAACCTTTACTAAATATCCTGGTGTGGTAGCTACAGCACAAGGAAAAGTGAGATTCCTATGAAGAGTTTCACAAGGTGGATCCTATATCTGGAGTCTGATTAGAAGGGTTCTGTGATCAAAATGACCTGGATGCACTAGCAGTCACCCTCAAACTAGATAGATAAACTTTTTCTTTGCTGTAGTTTTTAGATGATATGATGAAAATCAAAATGCGGCTGCTATCTGCAGGCCCATATGTACCCAATTATGTTTAGACTGTTTTCATTTTTTCTCAGGTGGAGGAATCGTTGCTCTGATTGTTGTTACTGTACGTATCCCAAACTTTGATTATACGTAAATCAAAATGTTACTGTGAAGAAGTGCATTATTTTCTCATGATTTTTCAGTTTCTATAGTTTTTATAGCTTCAAATAAGTGAACCAGTCTAGAAACCTGAGCTTTTCTATGATATACTACATTGTCTTGGTGATTGTGTATTCTTTTATAGTCTATATATCCACTTAGTAACAAACCCTAAATAATACATGTTTTTTCAAGATAATTAGTCATATGACTTTGCTTCCCAAATATGCTTTGGGTAGTGGTCTAAATTAAACAAGGACTCTTCTCTCACTGACCGTGGACTGTTTCAGTGATTCCAGGGAACTGGGTTTAGATAATAGAGTCCAGATGGCATATAAATGTATATGTGCTTGAATAAAATAACCTTTTCTGACCACTGAAACGTAACCAACATTTATTTCTCCTGCTAGATTTTGAATCTTGGTAATTAGTTTTCAGACTGACATGTCACTTGTTTCCTGGTTTCTTGTAGTTGTTGGCATCGCAGTAATTGGCACCTGCCTGTACAAATTTCTGCGCACCGGGAAGAGAGGGTAAATTAAAGCTTGCTTCTTCTAACTTATTGGTTCTTCTCATTCTTGACATACTTTTGTGCAGCTTTTGTTTGTACTCCATATTGCAGGCCTTCTTTTTTAAAAATGTGCCTATGGGGCTGGCCCAGTGGCATAGTGGTTAAGTTCGCTCGCTCTGCTTCTGCGGCCCGGGATTCACAGGTCGTGATCCCGGCCGCAGGCCTGCACACCATTTATCAAACCATGCTGTGGCAGGTGTCCTACATGTAAAGTAGAGGAAGATGGGCACAGATGTTAGCCCAGGGCCAATCTTCCTCAGCAAAAAGAGGAGCATTGGCAACAGATGTTAGCTCAGGGCTAATCTTCCTCACCAAAAACAACAACAACAACAAAAAATGTGGCTACATGAATGTCCCAGATGAATTGCATTTCTTTGCTAAAAATATTTTCAGCTGCTTTTAATATAATTGTAACAAGAGTAACCTGTGCAGAGTTGATTCAGCTATCAACACTGCACGAAAAATTTCTGTGGGATTTAAGGTTTAAGTTCTGCAGCGAATTATAGACCATCATGGGACCCACCCTACCCTAGGTATACCCTATTTCCTGAATTGGAGTAGTGGTGAAGATTAAATTTAAAATAATTCACTGTGGAGACTTGGACAGTTGAATTCACAGGAATTTTCATGATGAAAGTTCCATTTGTCTGTGTAACGTAGGTTGTTGTAAGGAGCTCTGTAGTTGTCTCATTCAGATACACAATTTGATTTCTTTCCGTATAGAGTTGTTATTTATACATGTGAAACTGGGGAATTAAAGCAACACTACTTGATTTCCGTCTTATGTTCTCTTAATTTACCAGGTTGCAGTAAAACTGATGGGGTTAAACTTAAAGTTGCTGAGAGGGGTAAGATTTACAAGGCACGTTAACTTTATTTCTCTTTTTATCTATAAAAATGAAAAAGGAGGGGAGGTGCTTAGAATAGAAAAATATGTACAAATATATATCTTCTAAGGAAAACAGGGCTTTTAAACAGAAAACTTAAATTTTAATGAGACAATTTACAATTGAATGAAAGACAGAATAAATCCTGAAGCACAGACCAAGATTAGGTGCTTTGGAATTTCTGATTTTTAGTGAATTTTTTTCTGCTGTAGCTTTGGAATCAAACCAAGAATGTTAAGACTTTTGGTGTGCATTGTTTTCTGATGTATTTTCCTTTTATATTACTCACTGGCTTTGGGCCATGTAATAAAAGTATCTTCTTCACTCATAAAGAGCTCAAAGTCTTTTTATATTACTTGATTGTCTTTTTAAAAATACCCACGATGCCTTCATTTGAATCTTAAATCTTATATTTGTGTAACACCTGATATGCGTATTTGATTTCTTTATCAGTAGTGTCTTTTTAAAACTACATATGTACAGCAGTCTGACTAGGAAGTACTATGGTGGAATATTTTTACAAGTCCAAAATGTTTGTGTAGAAATGACTTCTCAAGAAAGTAAAACAAAATAGTTTTCTGCTCCTCACTTTTCTTCTTTGTTTAAAACATCACTGCATCAAAATCCTTAAAGTTTCCTTAATAAGTACCAATCAAAGTCTCTCTAGCTACTGGATAAAGGATCCTTTAAAGCTGAACAATTATCTGAGCGTTGTTCCCCCAGATTAAAGGCTCAGTAGCATCAGTGATCTGAGATTCCATTTCTAATGAGCTCCCAGGTGACACTGCTGTGACACTGCTGCTGGGCCTGGACTTCACTTTAGGGATCCAGGGTGTAGACTATTATTGACGGGCCCATATTCTTGAAATGTGAAGAAACAGCATCCAGTTTACTGGCAAATTTTTTCCTGCTTAAGATAATTGGATTTTTTAGACTCCTCATCTATGTGTATGTTTTTAAAAAGAGTGTGGGGTAATACTTAGCTTTCCTTTGCTTTTCTTTTAAAAAAAAGTCAAGATTTCTAGTATATTCTTTGCACTATTTAATGTCTATAATCTTCTCCCTAAATTGGCTGTTGTTGCCTGAGAAACTCCTTTACAAGACGATAAAATATGTGCAGTTACTTCTCTCTTTCTAGGGGTCCCTTGGAAGCAGGGCACCAGGCACAGATAATCCCAAATTCCTGTTATAACTTGGTACAAAATGGATTTGATGTAAACTGTACTCATCATGATTTGGGAACACAATTACCCTTCTATGGCCTTCATACCACAGTACAAAAATAGTAGAAGTAGTCATTTTAAGATCATTAAACATATTTAAAGTACTGGTGAAAAATGGCCACAAGGTTGCAGTATTCTGCTATAGTTTTCTGTTTCTTGTTCTTCAGCCAAGAATAGAATAAGGTCCCAATTGGTCTGAAATGCACCCCATCCACACACGCTCCTTCCTTTTCCCCTCCAGTGTCTTTTCTTACCTAATGTTTCTACCAAGACTTTCTCGTCTTGGGATCCACAGCCCTTCCCTGTCCTTTGCTACTGCTTGAGTCCTGTTTCGCATGTCATGACTGTGTGATTCCGAAAAACAGATGCCTTTAGTTTACATTAATGTTTTCACTTATTTGTAGTTTTCTTTTTTCCCCATAAATACATGATTTTCTTTACTCTGGTTAAATCCTCCCTGGATAAGTTAGAGTTCGCTAAGTTCTTTAGAATTCTGTGCATAATTGATGTGTTTTTTCACCTGTGACTAAATTGTTTTTTTCTTTTTTTTCAGTTCAGGTTATTTATTATTTATTATAACCTATTTTTAATGTTATATTAATAATGCCTAATTTAATAACTTCATAATTTTTAAGCTGTCTGCTTAAATAAATGTTGCAACAGTTTTTTGGATTTAATATATATAGTGGCCAGTTCAGGTAGTGGGAAGTGTAATGACATGGGAAAAAAAATTGAAGGATCAAATTAACTTGAATGTTTTTCTACTTGATTCTAAGATTCTTGAGCATTGAACAAACTCTTCAAAAAATTTTACACAGAAAATTAGCAAATAAAGATTTTTGTAATTAGTTTAGATAGCACATTTACGAAATTTAGATCTGTCCCAGAAAAATGGGAGGTCATGTACTGAGTTTTAGAGGGATCTTCCTCTGGTTGAAAACAAATGTGCCCAGGAAGAAACTGTACTCAATGCAAAAGTCCAGATGCATCTGAGAATGTATGACGTCATAAAATTGATTTCCAACACAATATTACATGGATTTAATATATGCTCTGTGTATTCCCTCAAAATAAGGTGCTAGAGTCAAGGACCCCTTCTCCTCACACAGTCTGTTTTCTGAGAGAGAGAGTTTACAGTATTCACTTCAGGCTAAATGGTTTCAGAGGTAAACAGATTGCACAGAAATTCAGAATCTGTTCATCTGCTGGGTGATCTATAAGACTTCCAAGTTAAAGTAGCTTCTTGCACAAACTTCCCGTTTCAAGTTCCTAAGTGAGAATCAGAAAAGTCATAATTTATGATCCTAATGATCAGTCTTACCTCCGTTCTCCTCTGTCATTCATTTGACCCCACTTATTATGCCACTCTCGCTGTCTTTTGTTTTGATGTCACTGTTTTATGCAGCCCTTTTCCCTTCCTCTGTTCAGCACATACCTAACTGCTGAGAGCCACAGAGAAGTAAAATTTATTTCCCTCTGAGAAGAAGAGATGAGAGAAAGGTTTGCTTTTATTGGTAAAAGGTGTCTGCTTCCTGTTATGTTTCTTTACAGACATGTCGTTTCTTTTGAAAAATAATCAGTGAACATTGAGAAAGCAATGACCTGAGCTAAGATATGTGGGCAGGAAACATCAGAGGACACTCAGAGTCCTGTTGCCTTTGCTCAGTGATTGGTGTTTTCTTCTACCATTCCTGTTCTAAACATGACATGAAGTGTCCTGATGGCTTTTGTCAGGCCTCCATTAGAGTAATGTCCCCCTCGTCCTTTTATTAGACTATCTAGCTTCCTCTACTTTCTAGCAGCTGTGAATCCAAAAGTGAGGAAATTTTTTAGCCAAATTGGAGATAATCACAGACTCTGTTCAAGTACAGGGAGGAAAAAAAGTCCTTTTGCAGAAACCAAAATACATTTTACTTAATTTTGTAAATATATTCAATGTCACCTTGTAAATAATTCTGTAAAGGCCTTAATCTGTTTCCTTTGACCAGAATACTTTTAGCATATGAAAGAGAAACCAACAAAAAAATCCTCAGATTTTGAAAAATTATGACTTGCACTAATTTAAACCCTTTGACCCCATCCACCCTCTGTCTTTGAGTGAAATGAATTGGAAATGTTCCTCTATTTGTGCCAAAATGTGTGTCCACATAGCTGGGCAGAGAGGGAGATGTGTATCCCACCACTCACAACGTGAGGCGCTACCCGAGGTTACAACCAAGAGTTTGGGAGAGATTCTGCAAAGGGCAACAGGAAGGGCAATTTCTTGGTAAAGCCGAGTGGTGTCTGTGATCACAGGGGAAAGGGAGAGACAGAACATACCAGCTAGAAGGGCAGTCTGGGCCCACCCAGCCCTGTGTGTCTTTCTGGGCTCCTAGCATTCCTTTGAGGCTACAGCCAGCCAGGAAAGTAGTTTTCACACTGTTCTGAGCTTCAAAGGTGTCCATCAACGTTTGAAGTTAATCAGATGAATGCTGAAGTTAATAGAAAATGTCTGTAATTAGTGATTCTGTTTCAGATTTTTATCATCTTCAAATAAGTTCATTGTGATATCGAATAAATATTTCTTTCAATTTATATTAATGCTTACTTATCTTTCTCATATATTGGATTTCTATTTTAATTTCTATTTAAAGAAAAGGATTCTACTACTACAGAAAAAAAATGT